CGCGGAGCTCGAACCCATGAACCGTGAGATCGTGACCTGAGCCGAAGTCGGACGCTTAACCGACTGAGCCACCCACGCGCCCCGCAAGCAAGGGTTTCATAGCAGTTTAAGTGAAAGTACACTCTCCACCGTTGGAGAGCTGGCAGGCCCAGAAGTGACAGCTGCACTGTGGGTCAGGGTTGTCTTTTCATTTTTCTGTTTGGATAGGTTATGGGTCAGAGATAGGGCGGTTCCTGACCAAGGCTGTAGCCAGGCATCCAAGGGACTCCTCCTGTCAGTTGGGAGGGGGAGTTTTTAGCCCCATATGGTCCTTGTCTGACCTGTCAGGGCAACAATGGGGGAGGGCGGGGGCAAGGGGTTAAAAACCACAATGTAAGTGCATTACAATGAAGCCATCGGTTACTGTAGGGTAGTGATCAGAGGGAGGAACTCGGGCATATCCCCTAGGGTCTGTCCTGGCTGTTTGGAACTTGGCCTCCGCTATTTTATCAGTCAGAAAGCACTTGTTCCCTGCTTATATCTAGCTAATTGCCCGCTCTGTCATATTCAGGGAGCTCTGGGCTTCCCAGTGTGGATGTAGAATGCTAAGTTGTGGTTAGGAGAGACAGAGGTGGGGCCGGATCGGAGGGAGATGCTGTTTGTCCCTGCAGCGTGTCATAGCTTGATCCTGAAAGCAGTGGGGAGCTATTGTAAGGTTTTAGGTAAGAAATAACATGGTCAGATTTGCAGTTTAGAAAGATCATCCCAGGGGCGCCTGGGTGGCACAGTCGATTGAGCGTCCGACTTCGGCTCAGGTCATGATCTCACGGTTTGTGAGTTTGAGCCTCGCATCGGGCTCTGCGCCGGCAGCTCAGAGCCTGAGCCTGCTTCGGATTCTGTGTCTCCCTCTCTCTCTGCCCCTCCCCCACTCACACTCTGTCTCTCTCAAAAATAAATAAACATTTAAAAAAATCATTTTTTTAAATAAAAAAAAAAAAAGAAAGATCATCTTGGTTGCCAGATAGAAAGTGGCCTGGAGGAGGAGGCCAGAAGCAGAGGACTGATTTGAAGGTGGGGACCAGATAGGTGGAGGTTCAGAAAGAGGGCTTGACTTAGGCCTGTGGGAACGGGGAAGAGAAAGCCAAGAAGTATTTCAGAAAAAAATTAATGTCACTTTGTGGCTGCACCGCTTTGGGCAGGAGTCGGGGCGGGGGGGGGGGGGGGGAAATCCCTGGGATAGTGCCCAGGTATCCAGCTGGGATGGCCGGGTGGGCACTGGGGCCATCATTCAAGGGAGGAATAGGGAGCTTAGGTCCCATTGAATTCAAAAGTGGAGGCATCCAGGAAGTGGAAGGGTTATTTGTTCAGAGATACAGAGTGGGCAGCCACCAGCATCCCGGAATGGTGAAAATCACACCTGAGAGGTCGAGACCGCTTGGGTAGAGAGTAGACAGTGAAGCAAGAAGGGGGCCAGGGCCAGATCCTGGCCTTTTAATCACCATTTGAAAGACAGATTGAGGAGGACAAGTTGTCACCGGGAAGACCCAGGAGAGAGGGGTATCACCAGGGCCGAGGCTAAGAGAAGATCCCGAAGGGAGAGCGGGCACCAAAGTCAGATGGGAGAGAGAGGAGAGAAGATGGAACGTGGGAGCTGGCAGCTGGTGGGACTTGGGGGGCAGGAAGTGGAGAGAGCAGATGCGACTGCTTCTTTAAGAAGCTTGCTCCAGGAGCGCCTGGGGGGCTCCGTCTGTGAAGCATCCAACTCTTGGTTTGGGCTTAGATCATGATCTCACATTTTGTGAGTTCAAGCCCTGTGTTGGGCTCTGCACTTACAGCACAGAGCCTGCTTGGGATTCTTTCTCTCTCTCTCTCTCTCTCTCTCTCTCTCTCTCTCTCAATAAATAAGCATTTAAAAATTAAAAAAAAAAAAGATATTTGCTCCAAAGGAAGAGACCGGTGGCTGCTGGATGGGGGGAGGGGGGCAGGCTTTTTATTGATGAAGGGGATGTGATATTTTTGGAGCCAGGAGAAGGAGCCAGCAGAGATGGGGCATTGAGACTGCGGCAGAGAAAGGGAGGGGACAGAAGGACCAGCCCAGACGGAAGGCGCCCCTCCTCTGAGAGGGGGGAGAAAGGAGGAAAGGATGGACAGAGATGCTGGAAAGTTTGAAGGTCTAGGGAGCAAGAAGCCATGGGGTTCTTGGCTGATGGTTTCTGGCAGTATCTGTCCTATGGGCTTCAAATAGGCGGCGTGAATGAAGATAATAATGGGTGTGCCAATGCGTTTGCAGGAACAGCCAATAATAAAAGATTAACGTTTACTGAGTGCTTACTGTATGCTACGTGGCTTGCCTGCATTACCTGATAGAACCCTTGTACTAACCCCCAGAGTTAAGTGCTATCCCACACCCTAGAGGAAACAGACTCAGAGAAGATAAGGGGCTTCCTTGCTAAGGCTGCATGCTTTCAGTGAATGGCAGAGAGGATTCAAATCCAGGGTCATCCAACTCCAGCCCTTCACCTGACACTGCCCTGCCTGCCACAGTCCCACCTGCACGGTGCACGAAACTGAGGGCTTGTTAGCGCCTCTCACCCTAGACATCATCTCTGCTGTGGTCCACGGGCCAAGTCCTGGTCCCGAAGCTCTGGCTGGCGCATAACTTGTTCCCCTCGGCAACCACAGAAGGCCCAGTACCCTGTGATTGGCAGCGCAGAGCCCGAGGCGGGGCTCGAACCCACGAACAGTGAGATCATGACCTGAGCCGAAGTTGGATGCTTAACCGACTGAACCACCCAGGCTCCCCAGTGTTAGTGCTTTGTAAGGTGTGAATTGCTGTGCTGTGTTAATGTGAGATGCCGGTTTTATGATGTCCTCAGCACTGGAAAGAGCCCCATTGATCTGCCCTCTGGGGTGACAAAAGGAGAGATGGGGACACTCTGTTGGGTCCAGAGAGTTGGGGTTTGAGGTTTGGGGCTGCCTCTTAGGATCCCACCCGCTCTGTCTCTGATGCAGGGTGCCACCATCCGGCGGGATGAGCACTCAGGAGCTGTTGTGGTGGCCCGGATCATGCGAGGGGGCGCAGCAGACCGGAGCGGTGAGTGGCGTCAGTGCTGGCCTGGCCGAGGTGATGGCCAGCGTGCCCCAGCCTTCTCCCTTTGGCCCACAAGTCTCCTTTCCTCCTCTCTGGCCCCTGTTTGGGATGTGCTTTGCTTTCGGGAAGTGTGGCTGGATTTCTCTTCTTCCCAAGCCTGGTAGAAATTTCGATCGTCTGAAAATACCTTGGGCCTGGAGAACGTCGGGGTCTTGCCCCGTGGCCTAGCCGAGGGCTATGGTAGCTCAGCCTACGGCACGGGCTTGACGGGTAATTTCTAACTGAGGAGCCGGGACACCCTTCCCCACCACCCCGGTTGTCACTATTACAGAGGGAAGGGTGTTCACGCCCCAGATTTGTTTGGGTGGGAAACAGGTTGAGAATCATTTGTGTGAAAGAGCTACTCTGTTGGGAGGCAAACCTTCTGGTGTAGAGAGGTGTTACCCCAGAAGTCTGGGGATCGCTGTTGTGAAGTCCAGTGATTTCTCAAACATTAACAAGCACAGAAGCCCCCCGCCCCCCACCCTCCCGAGCATCTTGTTAAAATGCAGTTCTGATTCAGCAGGTCGAGGGCGGGCCCAATATTCCGCACTCCTGCCTGCCTTCTGGGGGCCATTGCTGCCGGCCTCATTTTGATTAGCAAAGAGGGCCCAGTGTGTAGAGACTCTTGTCATTCAAGCAGAGGCCAGTGGACAGGTGTGTGTGACACCCTTGATGCCATCTTTCCCGGGGCCCTTCGGTTTTTCTTGTTAAGACTGGAGAAAGACATTCTTAGAGTGTGTCTGCTAATCCGGGAAGGCGAAGAGTTAATGTTTTTAAAGAAGCAAAGGTTATAAGTGAGAGAACACAGACCTTCTATGTCAAAATAAATGTGTTCGAACACAGGCTCCTTTATTTCTTGGCAGAGTGGCCTTGGGCAAGCTGCGTTATTTTTCTGGGTCTCAGCTGCGCCCTTGTAAACTGGGGATTTCCCTGGGTGGTTTGGAGGCCGCGGTGCCGAGTGAGGGACCCCGCGCGCAGTAGGGCTCAGCCAGTCCCGGGCCCACCTGCTGCCTTTACACCTTGGGTCTGCCGTGCATGCGGCGGGTTCCTCGGGTGGGCACCAGTGGGGCCCTGGGGCTGAGGCCCCTTCCTGTGCTGAGGGGCAGCCCCTGTGTCTCTTAGGTCTGGTCCACGTTGGAGATGAGCTCCGAGAAGTGAACGGGATCACAGTCCTGCATAAGCGCCCGGACGAGATCAGCCAGATTCTGGTCTGTGCTGCA